CCCCGCCGCTGCGTGCAGGTTTCCCCCTCTCCCTTCCCCCAGGTCCGAGCGGCTGGGTGGCGCCTGTGCGGCTTGCAGAGGGGTGCCACTGCCCTCATCCCACCCCTGCTCCCGGCAGCGGCGCGGGGTGGTGGGTGGTGGTTCTCCATCCCCGCCTGACTGCGCGTACCCCCTAGGGCCTTCACGAGTACCCCGGGGGGTACATGTACCCCCAGTTGACAACCCCTGCTCTAGATGCATTAGAACTTGCATTTCCTGAATAGATTGCTAATCACGTGTGTGCATGATTTTTACTCGAAGGCAAGAGGTAGGATAAACTCCAGCGAGTTAAATTTGCCTTCAAATGTCCTGAAGTAAGGCTCTAGTGCCGGTTGCTCAAGCCCAGCCTGTGGGTCAGATCCAGCTCACGGGACCATCTCATCCAGCCCTCAGGGGTCCCCATGGGCTCAGCAGTTTTGCTGTAGGGGAACAGTAGCAGCAATTGCTACTGCCCTGCTGCCAAATTGCTGGACCCATGGGGAGTCCTGTGCATGCCAGACTGGCTCACGGAAGTTGCCCTGGGCCTGATCCAGGCATACGGGTCAGCTGGAAGAGGTGTCGGCCCTGAACCTGTAAGCTTTGTGCCTGCACCAGCTCCTAGTGTCCTGTCTGGCCCGCTCACCAGCCTGGAGCCACTCTTCTGGGCTCTGCCAGCAAAAGCTTGAACACTGCTGCTCTAGTGCCTTGTTTACAGCTGAGGAGGTGATTTTTCTCCCCCATTAACACTTGCCTGCTCCTGTAGTCACTTATGAGATGGCCTGATACCCAGCTCAAGCGAGCATGGTCCTGAGGCTGCTCAAATTGTTTTGTTTTGTATCTGCTTCCTGAGGGCTGCTAAACAAGCAGGAATTGAAGCACTGCAGCACACACTACCCTGACTGACCCCTCATCCTATTCTCTTCCATAACCACTACAACTAGGTTGGTTTTGGGGGACCTAAAACTCTTGAACTTACTCAGTTTTAAATGTCAAGCTTTTCTCTAATGGTAGCTTTTTCTTTTCATCTTATCCCTGCAGAATGCTCAAGTGAGGGGCTTTTATGACTTTTATCTGCCTAAAGATGAAATATGGATCTACAACATGGAGACTGGAAGATGGTACAGTACATAAATAGCTTTCAAAATACAAGCACTAATTTAAGAGAGCAAAAGTGGAAATCTCAAGTTGGATCTCTAAGCCACAGAGACAGTTCATGCAAGAGTTGCTTATGATCTGCCAGGAACTGGATGCTGGTGTAGAACAGGCATGCTTTGTCTCTAGCTGCAAAACCCACCACAAAACTGTAAATGTGTGAAACTGCTTATGTGGGGAAAAATAGAATTAAGCAAATGACCATGATTGTTACAAGGTTTATTATATGAGCCTCATAGAATAGATGTTTAATAAGACCCTCCGTAAGGTATGGCTATCACTGAAATGTTTGAGACCCCATATTTAGGAATATAATTTGTAGGTTCTCTCCTCCCAATATATTTGTATTTTGTGTAACAGTAGATGTTGAAATAAGCTTGTATTTAAATAGCCTGCTCTTTGTAGTTTTGTAACTATATATATATATATTAAGTCCAAAGTACCTCCTCAGCTGTAGCTAGGACTCTTGCCTCCTAGATTAACAGAAAACTGGAAGTTGTGCAAAAGCTGCCTGTCTGTTGTTGGGTGGAGCAGATGCTGTCTGAGCTCCCCATACAACTCAACCTGCAAGGTGTTGAGCACCCTAGACTCCTCAGCGAGCAGCACTGACTGGCTATAGTCTGTCTCATCTGTCTGTGCAGTTGCTGTCCTTGTGGCCACTAGAAGCCCTGGGCACAGAAGTATGTTTTTATGAATACATTTAGCAGAAATGAAAGCAGGGTGAAGTGAAAATCTTCTTTTTACTAAGATGTATTTATTTTCTGGGTGGAGAGGGAAAGTCTTCTCTGCTTGAGGATTTACCCATTTCTTCCTGGAGGTGAAGGAGTCTTCAGGCCTCTGCATCAGGCACAGAGGACTCCTTCCCCAAATAAAGTAAAATAAATGGTTGATTCCCTAATCAGCATGTTTCAAATATTGGAAGAGGACAGGGATGACTGATAACCAGTCCTGCATGCCTCTCACGCATACCTGTGCTCAGCTTTTAACTCAGACTGCCAGACTAAATGCTTTTCCTCTCAACAAAATACTAATCCAGTTTCTGTTTATTGTATGAAGGTGTTTTAAAACTGTCTTTCTAGGAAGAAAAGTAAAACAGAGGGGGATGTTCCACCTTCCATGTCTGGAAGTTGTGCTGTGTGTGTTGACCAAGTGGTGTATTTATTTGGCGGACATCATGCACGTGGCAATACAAATAAGGTCAGTGACTCAAAGATGAATTATATTGTTACCCTTCATCAGTAAATAACTTTCAACCCCATTTTATACTGAATGCAAGGCAGGCGAGTTCTGAGCTTGTTACAAACTCATCCAAAGCAGAAAAATATTGCCTCATACACTACAACAGCTTTCTTCTGGGCAGATAGATGGGGTTAGCAGAGTCTCTGTCACGGTGAACATCAGTGTGCAGGAGGTCGCTGAGTCTTCCACAGCCTCTCCAACAAGATATCTTCATCTGCCTTGTTCTTTGCTTGGAACACGCAGATTAACTCTTTCTTGACCTCAGTCGTGTCCTCAAATTGAAGTAATCCAAGCAATGTCCATTTTCACCTGCCAAAGAATCTTTTGGCTGACAAGAAATAATAGGTCAACTCTATCCAATAGTTGCTTGAGTTGCGGTGATAATCCTGGTGTACTAGCCAAACTCGTTCTGCAGTCATACTACCTGAGCAGTTTGCAAGGTTGGAGTTTCCAGAGTCTACTGAAATCTTAAGCTCCTACTGGGGTGGAAATCGAGGATGCCTAGACCTAGTTTCAGTAGCTTGATTAGTAGTTAAAGTTAGTCCCAAGTCAGTCCACACGCACTGCACAGTAAAGCGTCTATATGGGCATTGCCGCGCTGTAACCAATCAGGTGTATATTTGATACCTGCATGATGGTATCAAATGGTAATTTACTCTCAAGTCGGCATAAGTCCCCATATTTACTGTACAGTACAGGTATGCGCGTGTAGACATGTGCCTGTACTGTGCAGTAAT